TGCGAGTGCGACTAAAGTCGGGGCTGCTGAGGGTGTTGGCGCTGAGGCTACTACTGTCAATCCTGGCGGCGGTCCTGCTGTGGGTGCTGCTGGTGCTGCTGGAGGTCCTGGAGCTGGAGGTGCTGTTGGCGCTGGTGCTGCCGCTGGGGGTGGTGGTGCTGTCCTTGCTGTGTCTGGAGTCGCCGCGCGGCCTAGGTCGTACTTTGTTCCACTCCTTCAGCAGGTTCTTGGTCTTCCTCCTCCCTTAGAGTGTCCACCGCCTGTCCAGTCACAGTCACAGTTACCGCCGGCCTCCCCACTGCCTGCTCCTTCTCCCTATACTGGTCCTACTGGAGGTCTTACTGAGCGTCGTGAGCCTACGTCTCGCCCTGCGTCGCCTGTTCGTGCTGCCCGCACTAGTGGTCGCTGTTCGCGTTAGCGTCCTCCTCCTGTCCCTAGCACGCACCGGATGTCTCTGCATCCGTCCACTGCTCCTCTGCGTGCCCCTTTACCCTCTCCTCCTGAGTACTCTCTTCCTGCCCTTGCCGGCCCGGAGTCGGACTCTCTTCGTGGTGCCAGTCCTACTGTCACGCGTCTCCTTGCTACTGATGTCACTGACCCCTCTTTCGAGTCCGCTGCTACGTCTGCCCTAGTGGCTGAGCTCGTCGACTTTGCAGCTCGCTGTCGTCTAGACTACGCTGCTAGTCTCGTTGCTGAGTCTGCGTCTGTCTCTCCTCCGTCCGTCGGGGGTGAGTGTGCTCTTGGCACGGACGTCATTGAGGACAGGCAGGAGGAGTTCCAGTGTCTGGCTGCTGCTTCACCTCATCTCGTGTCCGTACTGCTTACCCCTGAGGGAGACCCGGTTGCACTTGACATATCGACTCCGCGCTCTTACGCGGAGGCCGTAGAGGGTCCCTACTCCTCTCAGTGGCAGGCAGCTATGGATGCAGAGATGGCTTCCTGGAAGTCCACAGGCACCTATGTTGACGCGGTTCCCCCTCCTGGGGCGAACATCGTCAGTGGCATGTGGATCTTACGGGTGAAGCGGCCGCCGGGCTCTCCACCTGTCTTCAAGGCGCGGTACGTCGCTCGTGGCTTCAGTCAGCGGCAGGGAGTTGACTACTTTCAGACCTTCTCTCCCACCCCGAAGATGACCACTCTTCGGGTGCTGCTACACATAGCCGCTCAGCGTGACTACGAGCTTCACTCCCTTGACTTCGGCACTGCTTTCCTGCAGGGTAGCCTGCACGAGGAGATCTGGCTGCGCCATCCACCTGGCTTCATTGGGACTTTCCCTCCTAGCACCCAGTGGAGCCTTCGACGGCCAATCTACAGTCTCCGCCAGGCACCGCGCGAGTGGCACGACACACTGAGGACTACGCTTGCGGCTCTTGGGTTTGCTCCCTCTACTGCTGACCCGTCGCTGTTTCTACGCACCGACACCTCTCTGCCGCCGTTCTACATCCTCATGTACGTTGACGACTTGGTCTTTGCCACTGCTGACACTGCTGGACTCGCCCACATGAAGTCCGAGCTGCAGAAGAGACACATGTGCAAAGACGTGGGTGAACTGCGCAGCTACCTTGGCTTGCAGATCACCCGGGACAGAGCACGCCGCACCATTACCCTGACTCAGTCACACATGGTGCAGCAGGTCCTTCAGCGCTTCCGCTTCACGTAATCCTCACCTCAGGCCACTCCTCTGCCTACTCGCCACTCGCTCTCAGCTCTTCCTTCGGATGAGTCCGTAGAGTCGAGTGGCCCGTATGCAGAGCTTGTTGGCTGCCTCATGTACCTGATGACGTGCACACGACCTGACCTTGCATACCGTCTTAGCTTTCTTGCACGCTATGTTGCTCTTGGGAGACACAGACCAGAGCACATGGCTGCAGCGAAGAGGGTGTTGCGCTACTTGTGCAGTACGGCGGGCATGGGGCTAGTGCTTGGAGGGCGGAGTCCAGTGGTCCTCACTGGGCACGCGGACGCTTCTTGGGCTGACGACCAGGCTACGCAGCGGTCGTCACAGGGTTACACCTTCAGTCTTGGTTCTGACTCTGTTTCGTGGCGGGCTACTCGCTCGTCTTCTGTTCTCGGCTCCAGCTGTGAGGCTGAGATCTATGCCGGGGCCATGGCTGCACAGGAGCTTCGCTGGCTCACCTACCTGCTGACTGACCTCGGAGAGCCGCCTCGTTCTCCTCCAGTGCTGTACGTAGACAACAAGGCCATGCTGGCCTTGTGTCGGGAGCAGCGCCTGGAGCACAGAACGAAGCACATTGCTCTCCGCTACTTTCTTGCTCGTGAGTTGCAGCAGCGTGGTCAGTTGCGACTTGCGTACGTGGCCTCTGAGGCCAACACTGCTGATGTTTTCACCAAGGCACTTCCGCCTTGTGATCATCAACGCTTCTGCACTCAGCTGGGTCTTGTGCCTGTCTTGCCTCACTTGCTCACCCCTTGACCTTGCTTGTACTCTTACATATATATATATATATATATATACCTGTTCTTGCTTGTTTAGCCTTATATATATATGTGTACTCCTGCATGTGAACTGGCCTTGTGGCCTTGACCTTGTGCTCGGACTGTGTGGTGACGTTGTGATCCACCCTGAGCTTTGTCTGCTTTGCTTGACTGGTCTTGTGAGCCCTTGTTCTCCCCCACTTTGGCTATGGGGGTGTGTCAAATTATAATATTGTGTAGGCTATAGTGGGGTAGCCTATATGGGGTACACATTTCTAGGGTTGCATATTTGTATCACTTCCATTCCTTAGTCATTCATTCTCGTTCTAAGTTTCTCAGACCATGCACGCAGCTTCATGCGAGGTTGCTCAGAGGCGGATACGTGCTCGAAGCGACCTCGTAAGGCTGCGCCCCACTCCTTCCACGTGCGTATCGTGGTCACTCCGAAGATCGACGTTGCCACTTTATTAGTCACTGTAGAGGTCCCGTCTGCCGCATGTGTCACACCTGTCGGCGTCCTTGTTTCCAAGGTTCGGCGCCACCACTCAAGTGCTGCACCTCGAAGAAGCAAAACTGCGTAATTAATAGGCGTGGTGTCGTCATTAACCCCGGCTGCAGTAGAAAAGACTTCGACCCCGAACAACCACCCTTTTACCGTAACCGTCTTGTCCGTAGGATTAAACGGGGGTGGATTGACGGGCTTGATCTTGATCGTTGTCACTGCAACTGGAGCTGCTGCCGCTCACTGCCTATCCTCCTCTTCGAAGTCACGTGTGAGCGCATCCAATGGATTGCTCATCGCCTGACTGTTGCCCTCGCCTTCGTCCACAGGCGACTCCTGACGCGCTTCACCTCGCGTCTGGCGTAGTTCGGCGTTTTCCTCTCGCAGTGTCGTCACTTCCGCCATTAACGTCTTCATTCTTTCCTGCATTTCTGCCACTTGTGCCATCATCCTGTTGACCGCTTCCTAATCCATATGCCTCACGCTACGTCTGGTGGGTAATCGGGTCTCCGTGGCCTTCAGGCAAATGAAAACACGAACTTTCAGAATCGGGCAGGATTGAATTAACAATCCCTGCAGCCAACCGTCGTGTAGTCACTAAACCAGCCACACCCTATGCCACCAAACTACCCTCGGAAAAGCGGGGTGAACTAGGAAAGTAGCTCTGATACCGGTTGTTATGAGTTGTAAAAGAGAGTGCGCAGGTAAACGAATAACGAAGCTGTGACTGAATCAACTGCGAATACAATGAATGCACAGACTAACGTAGGACTACTCTAGCTAGGAGGAAACCTCGGACGAGCGAGGTTGGGTGCAGGTTTGGCGATGGGAAAGCCGAAGGCGACGTGAGGAGCCTCGACAGCGTTGAAATCGGCCGAACGTGCGAACTCCGAAAATCGGGTTGTACGCGAAGCAGTCAACCCCGATAAGGAATTCGGGAAAATTCCTTTCACCCGGGTTGGGTTGCCCAGACCCGAGCGATCCAAACCTGTGCTGCCTACGACCTCAGTACGTTGTGCGAGTGACACGTGGTAACCAGAGAGGTTTGGGTCTGGAAAGTGTTGGCCCTCCCATGGTCGGGAAGAAAGCAAACCTGAGGTTCGGCTCCCCAAGTGTTAACACCTCCCAAGCGGTTTGTAATTCAGGATGCGGGTTTTAAAGCCGGCGGCCCAAGTTGTTCATGCTTTAAAAAGTTGACTAGAGGGAGTTTTTCTGGTGTAGGCTTTGGCGAGAGTTCGCAATTTCGTCTAGGCTCGTTTTTTTCGCGAGACCCAGCCAACCCTCAGTTTTCCCCCTGGTGAGTGAATCTGTCTTCGAAAGTCCCAAATTGCAGGTGCGTGACTTTCAAAAGCTTGGACACTCAACTTCGTCAAGTTTTAAAAACTTGACCCTCGCGGTCCGCAATTTGGGACGCGGGCTTTAAGCAAATGGGCCTTATGATTCGATGCTTATTGAAGCGGCTAATGTGTTAGTTGAAATGTAAATTTTCTGGAGAGTTTTGTGGTATATTCTGCAGGTTTAGCAGGCTTCCAGTTGATTTGCATTCTATGTGTAGTATCGAGCTGGCTTCAACCTCCACGAAGCGTCTTTGAGACCTTCAAATCGAGCCGCGATAATATTCAAGCTACGTGTGGAGATCCTCTTTTACATGTCGGTACGGTACGTTTCCACACGGTAAAACGTGGTATGACCAATGTTTATCATGACCGCTTTGAACCGTAGTACGCTCTAGCTATACCCCTACTCACTCTTCGATGTCCCTCCTTCCTCCTAAACACATCACAGCAAGAACATCATTGAAATTGGCAGATGACCGCTGCCATTATTGGAGCTCTAGCCAAACATGGCAAGCGCGCCCCGCAACCGCGACGTCGTACTACAGCCGTGGCGCGGCACCCGCGAACTTTCTCATCACGGGATTTTCGTGGGCAAAGCAGCGCGCGATATCGTTACATCCAGTATAAAACACTACATGGTCATGCTGACGGGTATCAATTCAGCACCCTCTTCATTCGAAATTACTAGAATTCCTGACAGCGACACATCTTGCAGTCCCCCAGCCATGGCGAAAATCCCCAATCCCCTGCTGCTCGCTCTCTCGGCGATGCTCGCCTGCCTTTCGTTGTTCCCTCACGCATTCGCCGGTCCGATGCGCGTCGCTCGCACGCGACAGGCGCACGACGAGTACCTCCGTCAGCGGCAGCTGAGCGACCGTGAGCGAAAGCTGAACGACATCGTCTATCGCGGCTCCGAGCCTCCGCTGCACATGTTCGAAACAAAGTCCAGCTTCGACAAGGAGCGACGCGAGGAGGAACGACGCAATCAGGGAGGTGCCGCGTCGTCCTCCAGGGCCACTCCCATCAGATACCACGGCGGCCCCGTGATGAGCGGCGAGACGCTGAACGTATACTTAATCTACTATGGCTCCTGGCCGGCGGGATCCGGGCAGGATGTCATTGAAAACTTCATTCAGTCGCTGAGTCTAAGTGGCTCCGATGCACAAGGGGAAGCTGGGGATCCGAAAGTGAGCAACTGGTGGGCGACGAGTACAAAGTACTACGCGCAGGCGCAAGACATGTCTTCGAACATCGTCAGCTCGGAGGTACGTCATTTTTCCTTTTCATGTGGGCATGAGTGAAAGCTGGGGCTGGAAAAGGTACTTTCAGGGCCTGACTGGCGCGACATCGGGCATGCAGTAGCTCCGAGGCACTCGGTTTGTTCGAGGGTTGCAAACGACTGTTTGGCGAAAAACAAGAGAAAAGCAACAACCATAGAGCTTGGAACTTGCTGCATTGGCGGAAGTTGCGACGGATTGAACATTTTCAGACATTTTACTAAACAATGTCTGCACCGGTTACAATCCCCTGCCATTCGCAGGTGAACCTCACCAAGGTTATCTGGGACAAAGGGTCTCGCGGAAAGAAGCTCGGCCCTAGAGGTCCCTGGAAAAGTGCGTTTCTCTTTCAGCATAGCTGTTTCCCTCTCGTCCTGTCTCCTGTTTGTTTCCAAACATCTCGTCATTCCACTTACCACCTTCTAGCCAGAATCGTACTAACCTCGCCCCTCATCTTTTCACAGTTGTCAAGAGCAGGATTGGCTCGGGAAAGCCGCTTCCTTACGACGCCAATGGCATCTACCTGCTTCTCACCAGCAAGGACGTGAAAGTCGCTGGCTTTTGCACGCATTACTGCGGGTGGCACACGATGAACTATCTCAACTCCAAGCCTGTCGTATATTCCCTAGTGGGTCATCACGGAAGGTGCCCGAAAAACTGCGGGGCGCAGAAGACTTCGCCCAACGGGAACCCCGGGCTCGATGCGACGATCTCCACGATCGCTCACGAGATCGCGGAAGCTGCGACAGATCCCGACGCTAGCACCGGGTGGTTCGACGCTGACAATGAAGAAAACGCCGATAAGTGCAGCTACGTCTACGGAGAAACACTAACTACTCAGAACGAAAAAGGTCAGGATGCGAAGTACAACCTCGTGGGGCTCAACAATATGACGTTTCTGGTGCAGCAGAACAGGGACTTGGAGACAGACTCGTGCGTCGTGCAGGGAATTAAATGATGAAATGTGAAGCGTGTGTGAGGGTGACGAGGGGAATTGCGCAACTGGAAAGGAACGGACGGCAGGTATGGCTGCGGTTATCTGGATGCTGCAGAACCCAGGCCATGCCTCTCCTTGGGAAACTAAGTAGCTGCGCCAGGGAATAAGCCGCTGGAGTCGTGGTGGCGGTTTGCGACAAACGGCCCAATAAGCACTTGTAGTCGTGGTCGAGCAATTTTGTAAGGGATTTTCCCGATATTCCTTAGCGTGCCCTGCAACATCGCGTACAGCAGCAGCCGTTGTTCGCCCTTTACTCCTAACGGGGCTTTGCCGACTTGGCGCGCACTGTTTCACCAAACCTTGCACTGCTGGCCCGGCCGTGTCGGCCTACGCTTCGGGACTAGCCCGAGCCTCGCTGCCAGCATAGCACTAGCTAGCTCGCACGCACCGCGTTACCGTTTGCACGTTTCGCGTATAAATGTTCGCTCATGCCTTCGCTTACAATTTGTACTCGTTTGACACCTTTGTGCAATTCTGCGAGGACCCGCCATGGATTGGTGGCGTGTCATCGTCACGAAGCCAGTGGACTACGCGACGCTACCAACGCGGGAAGGACAAACCGCGCCCTGGGCGCCATCATATTTCGTGGAGGTGCCCAAGTATCGCACGTGGGACGCGTGGTGCGCGGGTCTGCGCGCTCGTTTCGAGCCGATTGCGGCTTCGATCGTGGCGTGACAGAAGCTCCGCACTTGGCGCCAACTCGGTTCCGTCCATGACTACACAAGCGGATTTCTGGCGCTATGTGAGCAGGTGGGATACATGCACGAGAACGAGCGCATCGACCGCTACATCGGCAGCCTGAAGCAGGACATCGCTGAGGAAATCCAGCTTCGCGGCGTCACCGATTTTCAAGAAATTCTTACTATGGCAGAGAAACTCGACTTCTTTCGCCGACCGAGACCGGGGTCCTACGGAAGTAGCAATCGGGGACATCGGCCTCGTGGGACGAACGAGGGCGCTACGATACGTGCCGTCGCTGCAAATGCCGATGCCGCACCGTTCAAGGGGTGCTGCTTTACGTGCAATCGGCCGGGACACCGTAAGAGCGAATGCCCGGAAAACGCTAAGGGAAAGGGGGAAGCTGAGCAGCAGAAATAGACCAAGCAGCAGGGAAACGCTGGGAGTCAGTAGCAGACGCGCCCTCTACTGACAGGTCACGCCGCTCGTCCGACCCAACCGACCCTCACCGAGTGATTGTGCCAGTTCACGCAATCGACCACACCCGGCCGAATAAGGAGGGTACTACGGTAGGCAGCCCCATACTGCTTAGTGGGAAAATTGGGACGGACTTAGTTAAAATCTTCGTAGACGGGGGAGCCAGCCACAGCCTCATTAACACTGCCACAGCACGAAAACTGAGACTGCCACTGGATAGATGCTTACCTGAAATCGACGCAAGACTGGTCGACGGCACGCCACTGGCGATACGGGAATGTGTGGACCGAGTTCGGATTCGATGCGGGGGTAACTTCACGTTTAGCTAGGAAATGCTCGTGACGACCCTCAACGGAACCGACATTTTACTCGGGCGTGATTGGATGCGACGACACAACCCGCGAATCGACTGGACGACGGGTGACTGCACTATGCGAGTGAACGGTACAACATCGCCTTACCTCGCTAGGGCTCGCCTGAGTTCTCGTCGGTGCGCGTCAATGCAATCATGATGAAACGCGCCGTAGCGGCAAGAGCTGACGTATATGCGGTTGACATTCGGGAAGCCGAGGCAGCAGACAAAGGGGGGGATTTACAGAAACTGCTAGCCGACGTACCGGGTGATCTGGCAGCACTGTTGAAGCAGTACAGTGATATTTTCCCGGACGACCTACCAATGGGACTGCCACCTCAGCGACCGCACGACCATAGGATAGAAGTAGAACCGGGGGCACAGCCAACAGTACAACGACAATTCCGACTGACCCAACCCGAACTGGACGAACTGAGGAAGCAGCTGGACTTCCTGCTCGGGAAGGAGTTCATTCGCCCTAGTTCGTCACGCTTCGCAGCACCGATACTGTTCACGCCAAAAAAGGACGGGGGGTTTTCGCATGTGCATAGACTACAGAGCACTGAACAGGGTTACCATCAAATCTCGTTACCCCATCCCGTGAGCCGACGAACTAATCGACCAACTGCGCACAGCCCGGGTTTTCTCGAACTCGACCTTCGGGGAGGTTACCACCAGATTCGCGTCAACCTACCCGACTGCCCGAAGACAGCCTTCCAAACACGCTACGGATCTTTCAAATACACCGTCATGCCTTTCGGACTGACCAATGCCCCCGCCACCTTTCAAATAACCATGAACGAAGCCTTCCGCCCGCTTTTAGATAAGTGCGTCATTGTGTACCTTGACGACATCCTGATTTATAGCCCCGACAGAGCACAGCACTTACAGGACATCGAAGCAGTCTTTAAGATATTGAGTGAGAACCGCCTACTGACAAAAGCGTCTAAGTGTGAGTTTTTACAGGACCGACTGGAGTTTTTGGGACACATCATTTCAGCTGCAGGAGTGGAAATAGACCCGAAAAAGATCGCGACGATTCAAGCATGGCACGCGTCGACCAACTTGACCGAGTTGCAGAGTTTTCTCGGGTTTGTCAACTACGTGCGCCGGTTCGTCCCCGACATGGCGAAGCTGACTGCCCCGTTGACCGACCTGCTGAGGAAGGGGGTTGAGTACACGTGGGGGAAGAAAGAGCAAGCTGCCTTCTCGGCCCTAAAAAATATTTTGTGCTCACCGCCCGTGCTCCACATCGCAGATCCGCACCGTCCATTCGAACTCTTCACCGACGTTAGCGATATCGCTGTGGGAGCAGTACTATGCATGACTTCGGCAACGGCCTCCAGCCAATCGCGTACGAGTCCCGCAAGCTTCACCCGCCCGAACGCAACTATCCGATACATGACCGCGAGATGTTGGCGATTGTGCACACGTTCAAGGTGTGGCGATGTTACCTCACGGGAGCAGACGTGACAGTACGGACAGACCACCGATCCCTACAGTACATTCGCGCCCAACCAAATCTCAACCCACGACGGATCCGCTGGTTGGACTATCTGGAGTCCAACTTCCACTACATGGCCACGTACAAAAAAGGGGCATCCAACATCGCCGACGCACTCACACGCCCCACCGCCCAACTCCACGCCATCCTACTCGCCCAAACCAACCCTCTGTTAACAGGCCTATTCACCCACGGATACAGTAACGACCCATTTTTCACGACTGGAAATTCACAGCAACTGGCAGAGGCCAAAGGAGTCTATTACGTAAAAACAGGCACCAACCGCATCTGGGTACCCGCGTACTCACTACTGAGGGAACTGTTACTGCAGGAGGCACACGACGGGATTACCTCGGGACATTTCAAGGTAGAAAAAATGCGACAGCAATTGCAGCGGTATTACTACTGGCCGGAGCTGTCGACCGATGTACAGCACCACGTGGGCTCATGTCCTACGTGTCAGGTGATGAAGAGTTCGTGAAAAAAAGGCGGGTCAGTTGCAGCCGATTCCACCGCCTGAGCGCGCCTGGCAGTAGGTTACCATGGATTTCGTCATGGGGTTACCTTCCAACCCTGGGGGTAACGACGCAGTTATGGTCGTCGTTGACAGGTTGACGAAGATGGTGTCAGATTTATATGACATAGTTGTTGTAGGCTATAGTGGGGTAGCACATATGGGGTACAGGGTTTCTAGGGTTGTATTTGTACCCATCTTTCCTTAGTCATTTTCATCCCTGTTCGTTTATTCTCACATGGTATAGAGCGGGTCCTTCTACGGACCGGTTTTTTTTTTTTTTTTTTTTTTGGGCCCACCGAAGCGCCCCCCCGAGGCGCGATCCTTTTTTTTAGCGACCCCTCGGGTCGCCATTTCCCCTGCGGCCCCGCCGCCTTCACTGACGCGGCCCCGCCGCCCTCTCTGTCGCGGCTCGGCCGCCTGCTCTCACGCGGCCCCGCCCCGGCTCCTTCGCGGCCCCGCCGCCTGCTCTCGCGCGGCCCCGCCCCGGCTTCTACGCGGCCCCGCCCCGGCTTTCACGCGGCCCCGCCGACGGCTTCGTCGCGGCCCCGCCCAGGCCCTTACGCGGCTCCGCCGCCTGCTCTCACGCGGCCCCGCCCCGGCTCCTTCGCGGCCCCGCCGCCTGCTCTCGCGCGGCCCCGCCCCGGCTTCTACGCGGCCCCGCCCCGGCTTTCACGCGGCCCCGCCGACGGCTTCGTCGCGGCCCCGCCCAGGCCCTTACGCGGCTCCGCCGCCTGCTCTCACGCGGCCCCGCCCCGGCTCCTTCGCGGCCCCGCCGCCTGCTCTCGCGCGGCCCCGCCCCGGCTTCTACGCGGCCCCGCCCCGGCTTTCACGCGGCCCCGCCGACGGCTTCGTCGCGGCCCCGCCCAGGCCCTTACGCGGCCCCGCCGCCTGCCCCCGTCGCGGCCCGGTCTCCTCCTGACGGCTCCTGCCGTCCCCCCCTTCTACCGGCCCCGCAACTGCATCTGCTGGCCCCGCCGCTGCACCTACCGGCCCCCCACCACCCACCCCCCCTTTTCCCGTCGCCCGTCGCGGCTCCTTCGGGGGCCGCAAGCGGCCCCCTCAGGTCGCCTCGACAGGCGACGGGAGAGGCCAGCAGAGGGGTGGCAGGTGTGTGGCCTCCCCTGCTTCTCCTCCTCCTTCATCTCCCACTGCAGCAGCCGAGCCGCTCACCTGCAGCAGCCGAGCCGCCCCACAGCCGAGCCGCCGGGTCGCTTAGCTGCTGAGCTGCAGTTGCTGCCGAACCGCCCTGCCGCCGAGCCGCCGAGTCCCCGAGCTGCTGAGCTGCAGTTGCTGCTGAGCCGCCTTGCCGCCGAGCCGCCCGAGTCGCCCGAGCCGCCGAGCCGCCGAGCTGCCGAGCCGCTGAGTCGCCGAGCCTACTCTTCCCACCACTGGTGAGCTCTTGCCCTGCTAGCACACTGCGCGTCGCCTGCTTG